TATATACCTTACCTATAAACAAAACGAATGACATCAGTTTTGAAATTCGGAGAAGGATAGTGATGGTCAACCGGTGCTACTATGGTTAGAGCAAAAACTCAAAAGCAAGTCCACCTCCCGCCAGACCAAACTCACACTCTACAAGACGCTGGTACTACCCGTGCTGTTATACGGATTTGAAGCATGGGCACCTAAGCAAGCAGATGAGGCAGCTCTTAAAGTGTTTGAGAGAAAAATTCTCCGAAAGATCTATGGACCGATCTGGGTTGACGGTGAATATCGCCGTCGAATGAACCATGAGTTGCACCAGCTATTCTCGGACATCGACATGTTGTGAAAATGATTGAAGATGCCCCAGCCCAGAAGGCATATAAACCAGCTGATGGTTCACGCAGAAGGCCACGAATACGATGGAAAGATCAAGTGGAAGACAACATTGCCGAATATGGTATTTCAAATTGGAAAAACTGCGCAAAAGACCGACGCGCCTGGAAATCTTTTCTAAGCTCGGCTTATGGAACGAAAGTTCTGTCACAGGCCAGTTAAGTAAGTAAGTAAAGACTTCTTAACATTCTATTTTGACATCTAAAGATTTCCTCATATTATAACTGATATTTAAATTCATTTTCATATTCTGAACGATCCTCCATACGTTTCTAAGAATTAAGATCATCGAACCTAAAGATCTATGGGCCGATCTGCGTTGACGGTGAATATCGCCCAGAAGGCAGCTGTATACAAAGCATGTTGTGAAAATGATGGTTCATATAAACCGCAGAAGGCGAAGGCCACGAATACGATGGAAAGAACAAGTCGAAGACAACATTGCCGAAATTGGTCTTTCAAATTGGAAATCTTGACATCTAAAGATTTCCGCATATTATAACTGGCCATTTAAATTAATTTTCATATTCTGAACGATCCTCCATACGTTTCTAAGAATTAAGACCATCGAACTTCTTGTAATCTATCTGTAGAGAATTTTTTAAACTTGTTCATGTCTGTATCGACCTCCGCACATTTCATTGAGCCTATTGAAAGTATTCTGACGTTAAAAATATATATTATGACCTCTAACCTTGTTCTTGTCCTTGAAGATCTCTTCTTTAGAAACATAAAAAAAAATCCGCAATGAAAATTATCAACAAATAGCCGTTTAGGATCTTTAAGGACTTCGAAATCAGATTGAAATAAAAAATCCCTCTTTTTTTCAGTTGTTAAAAAATTTAACCTTTGTCAATCGATAGTTCCACAATAAAAAGAAAACTCTATGGAGAAAAACTGTACACTTTGAAAGAATCTAATGGTTTGGAAAATCATTTAACCAGAACCGCATCTTCCCAAAAAAATATAATTCGTATATAATTAACAAAATTTAATTGGCTGGGAAACATTGTTTTGTGTTATTTTTTTAGATCACTTCAGTCACATCACATGTACCCTCATTTCGTGACACAATCGACACGGCAAAAAGGTGGTTAGTTAAAAAAAATGTGTACTTGAAAAAGATGAAGAGGAACTGTTCTACTTCAAAAGGGTGGAAAATTGCGTACGTACATCTCTCTCGTAGGGGATAACTCAATTAAATTGACTGGCTAAAACGTGTTCCCATCACAACAAAACGTATGTCAGCAGACAAATAGATAGGCATTCAGTCAGTCATTAGAAATTACATTATGGGATGATGTTCACCACCACGGAACAAAAACGTTACATTTTCCGATAAGAATAAAAAATTGCATTCGAATTGTTATCACAACAAGGGTGGGCTTAACTAGATTTTCCAAATCAATTGCAATTGAGGATGAAAAGCTTCTAAACAAAACAACAAAACACACAAATTCATTTATTCCCTGTCCAAAACAAAATCTGCGGGCTTTTCTCCTTAAATGGTGTGGGAAAATAAACTTGAATTTGTTTATACAATGATTTCTCATCCCCATCCTCCTTTTCATTCCAAAAGTAACTTTCAATTTTCTTTTTTGGCCTAGCATTTTTGAAAGCATGTAAAAAGAAAAATCACTTTCCAGCCTTTTTGGTTAGTTAATGGACCCTATCAAATTGCCTTGCTTTGCTCGGGCTACAGGTAGGCATAAAATAGCATTTCAGGTAATTTAACTTTTTAAGCCTTCGACATAAATTTTACTTAAAAAAAGGTTGCCCCATCACAAGAAGGTGTATCATCTTCATTTAAATTTGGTACAAAGTTAATAACAATATTTTATGAAAAATATGCTAGCACCACATTTTCTAGCCAGAGGAGAACAACAAAGCTATCAATTAAAGATTTAATTTAATTTTTTGTCTAGTGAGAGATAGAGAAAAAATGGGAATATGTCGGAATGCCAGGCAATTTAAAATAATAAATTTGTGTTTAAAAAGATTTTCTTGGCCTAAAAGAATGCGCAACTTATTTTGGAAGACCATTAATTTTCTTACAAGAAGGAACATGTTACAAAATCGGTGATAAATATATTTATAAGTTCTACCATATAGACTCGACACATTTCCATTTTGCTTCTCAAGCTCCATGACAGCACTTACAGAATTCCTGATTTTCGATCCGATTGACTAAAGCCGGAAGTTTTAATTTTAAAAAATTAACCTTTACATACTATATCGATGTCATAGACCTTCTTCTTCTTTATTCGAACCTCTATAATTATATAATATTCAAACTTATAGAGACCCTTATTCATATCACTATAGACCCTAACATATTGTATCCAATTTCGAGCTCAATCTGGATTCAAAAAGTATTATTGAACGTTTTTCTGATTTTCTAAAACTTTGAGAGACTTTTTCACATTTTGTTTTTTTGACTTCTAAATTTGTATATCCATTTTCGCTCGACATGTGCCATCTCTCATTCCTAATATTAAACATTACTAATAATTGACAGTGGAAACAAAAATACCCCTTGTAAACATTCCCTATATCTCTTCCAGAAGTTTCAAAATTCTACTCTGGATATAATCGACATTCTTAAACGTTTATCATACTTTGTAACACGTCGAAAGGCCTCTTCACATTCTATTTTGGCCTCTAAAGGCCTTCTCATCTTCAATTTGTTTCGTAAATTGTCCCTATATCTCTTCCCGAGGCGTCTAACCTGGCTCCAATTCTTGCATTATTTCAGAACTTCTAACAATTCGAAAGACTTCTTCACATCCTCTCTCTAAGGACCTCTACATCTTCTCTATGGTTAATTTTGAATTCAATTTCGCTCAGCATGGATCATCTCTCTAGATAGATTTAAGAAACAAAAATTCGATGCCAAAACCTTACCTACATCTCTTCTGGGGGCTTCAATATCCTAATCTGGCTACAATAATCATTTATCGGACTCGCTACGGTTGTCCTTCTATTTTAACCTCTTAAGAACTCCTCATCTCCAATTCTCTCCATAAACTTTCCCTACATCTCTTCTGGAAGCTTCATTATTCTTATATACTGAATAACGTACCTTCTGCAGACTTTAGAATTATAATCTGAACTTTCTAACACTTCGAAACCAAAAATTACTCAATTTTTAAAATTCTGCCTTAAAACTCGTTCATATTCTAATTGATCACATTCTTATCGAGTCTCTATATATCTCTAATGTTTTACCAGGAACTATTATGGTTTCTAATCTCAGGACATTTTTTTAAGGAATGCTCTTTGTATTATGTTCTGAATTTTATAGAACTGTTCATATTTTATTCGAAACCAAAACTTACTCAATTCTCCATAATGTATTCGGACCTCTAAAAATACTTAATATGTTTTACAGAAACTAAATATCATTCGGACCCCTGAAGACCTACTCAAATTAAACTTTGATTTATGATGGTTTAGCTTTAATACTATAGTAGGAATACGACAGAACTTGTTACACTCAATTCGAGCCCCCTTGTATTCCATTCGAACCTATAAAGTCCTCCTCTTTGTTCGGACATTCATATATCTCTCATATTATTTTGGGATATCTACAGAACTTATCATACACTTCTCGACCTCTTTATACTCTATTGGGACCTCAAAAATTGCACACCTAACTCACTTAACAAATCAATCACACGGTTTATACGGAGCTATAGAGCACTCCTCAGTCAAATTTCAGTCTTAAAATATATCTCCATCTCAATACGACCTCTAAGGGTTTTTCAAGATTAATTCGAGTCATAAAGAAATCTGAATTTTTTATTGAGACTTTCCACCTCAACTTTTGGTTATTATTTTCTACTCAAAACCATAAAAAAGTCCTCTCATATAACATTCGGACCTCCAAAAAGAACTTCCATCACTTTTTTGGAAACTAAAAGCCTTCTTAAATTATTTTGAGACCTCCACGCAATAAGGACTCTTGCTAATGCTATTTAAACTTCTACAACTATTGACCTCTACATATTCTAGTTGGACCTATACATACCCCCTCGTATTGTACTACACTATCAATAGACCTCAATATGTTTAATTGGGACCTCTTCTGATCTGCCTGCGTAATACTCCGACATTATAGATGTCTTCCTATTATGTTCTGCTGTCTATAGACAATATCTAAGCCTTCGGAAAACACTGGTTGTTCCATTCGGAAACCTACATATTATTAGGAATTTCCAGGATCTCATTATATACAACCTCTTAATATTCGGACCTTAGAACCCCTACACTTTATAAATTAGAAACTATATGAATTCATCATTGATTAATAGGCCCCTATCGAAATATTGAATTTCACATATCTTATAACAAAATCCGAACTTCAAATCACAGTTTAGAATTTGCCATCCATGCGATGATGAAATGGTCCTTCGATCCATTTCTATTTTCAAAATTAACTTTAAATGCAAATATGTCAAAATTGTATATATAAATCTGAAAAAAGTTATAAGGTTCGATTTTTTATAGAAAATAAAATTCTATTGATTTTTAATTTACAAAAAAAAAAATTGTAAATAATAGATATTCACACCTATTATACTGTGCTGTGCCGTTGTTCTGCTATTTTACCCCCTTCAAATCTGTCCATATTCATCATAAATTTCGATATAACTATTATCATCGGATTCCAGCGGATGTTTACTCTTACGATGGTTGCGCAGCGTATTCAGGAAGGTAAACCTCTGGGGGCAGTAGGCACAGATGTACAGTTCTTTTTTGGTGTGCGAAGCAACATGTTCGCGATAGGGTCGAGATTTCTTAAAGACACAACCACAGGTGGGACATTTGAAACGATCAACCTGACTGTGATTGTAGTAAATGTGTTTTCGTGCCATTTCTTGATTCTTAAACGAACGGCCACATTGTTTACACACGTAGAGGGTGCTGCCGTCGGGCTGTATCTGACAATCGGGTTTGCCATAGTTTTCATGGACCGTTGTGCAATGATAGCGAAGGCCACTCTTCGTTGTGAATCCTTTATCACAGTTGGGGCAGAAGTGTCGTAACTTTTGATAGCTCGGATGTTGGGCATCAATGTGTCGCTTGAGGGCACATCGCGTGGTATTTATCCGACCGCAGAGTTTACATTTAAAGGTGTTGGGGTCATTGTGATAACGCATGTGTTCCTTCAGTGTCCAGTGCTCTTTGAGTTTGCGGCCACAACAGGGAATGTAACACTGTTCCGTGGGATGACGCTGCAGGAAATGGGCCTGTAAGGCGGGCCAGGATTTACACTTGTGGGTACAAAGATCACATTTGATTATCGGCATAAAATTGGACAGTAGATAACTTAGATGTTGCTGCCTTTCCTCGCGTGATTTATTATCCTTGCGACCATCGATCCCAGCTATGGAATCTACCAGACCATGTTCCTCATAGTTATAGTCCACATTATATTGAGACATGGACATATTAAAATAATCCTCTTCCGCCTCCACCTCATCATCATCCTCATCGGAATCATCGAGCAGTATAATCGAAGAGTCATCATTAAACTGATAATCATTCTCGCCAGGAGTAGTATTCCATGATGTGCTCGGCATATCGTCGCCGTCACCTTCTTCTTCCGCCTCCTCGTCATGGACATCGATTAGCTCAAATTCCCGTTCCATTTTGATGACTGGACCCTGTTGAAAGCTCTGATTTCCATTATTTTCTTCACTAGATTTACACTTCTTTGGTTCAAAACTCTGAGCTATTTTTTGGGCAAATTTACGTTTGGTTAGGGCAGCTGTCTGGACCTCCAGGGAATTTAGCGGTGTATCACCATCAGCTTCGATAGCTGCCATTTCCGATAGGGAAACAAAACTCCCTTCAATATTAACGGCCGAGGACTTATCAAATTCCCCTGCCGCATCGGGGAAGCCATCTAGGCAATTGCCCATATCACTGCTGCCCGGCTTTACATCTTCTTGGAGTCTCTCTTGGGCATCGGTTACGAATTTTTGAAAATTATGAAAATCCAAAACCTGACCCCAACATTTGTGACAAATTATGGACAAGTGGCGGAATTTGTCCATATCTAAAATCTATGGAAATCGGTTGTAACAAGGGGTGGGTGTATTGGGGATGGAGGCCTAATTGTATAATGAATTTTTGGAGACTTACCTTCGGATGAAATAAACTGTAAATAACTTCGTACAATTCATTGCCAAAACCGTTCTCGTCGTACAGCGTTTCGTATTCCTGACATTTGTCAACACACAGGCGGCAGGTAGTGGACTGAGTCATGTTGACATGGAATGGATTTGCGGCGGGTTCTTACTTAAATAATAACTTATGAAATTTTTAGAGGTTATGTTCAGCAGTCATGGATTGGAATTTTTGGAGAAAAAATCTGAAATGAAAAAAATAGAATTGTTGATATTAGTTTTAGACGAAATATTTAAAATGTAGGCAAAATTTTGAAACATATAGAAGTTCTGCTGAGTCCCGTATAGGTTTTGAGGAGCTCCACACATTTATGTTTTGGGGGAAAATAATGCTAGAAGTCGCAAGAAAGCTTGTGACGTCAATGATGGCTGGGAAATCCAAAAGTAGTATAATGATTTCCATATGGGTTCATGTATGGTCGACAGAGGTTTGTATAGTTGGTGAAAAGTTTCTGAGAGGTCGGGAGGTCAGAATAGGTGCCTAGGAGCCCCAGACCGGTTCGTATAGATATCTAGGAGTTATGTAGAGGCTCCAGAACTATAAAAGAGTTTCAAGGATCTCGATATAAGTTCGTATAGGTACGATGAAGGTCCGTAAAGGTTGTGGGGAGGTCAGTATATGCGGTTAGAGCTCTAGACTGTTGCGGGGAGGCTCCGGAACTACAATGTCTTGCAAAGAACATAGACGAGGCCCTATAATGTTGTGAGAAGCTAAATATAGATGCAAAGATCTCAAAATAGGTTCGTATAGTATGTATTATAAGATAATAGAGTTTCGTATAGGTGGTGATAAGCTCCTGAGAATTCGGCACAGGTTTTTTGGGGGTCTATATAGGCGGCTAGGTACTCAAAACTGGTTTATATAGGTATCGCAGAGCACCGTGGGACGATAGAGGTTCGTATTGGTAGTGAGAGGTTTCTGAGACCTATGTACAAGTTGTTTGTAGGTCTATGTAGGCAGCTAAAAGCTCTAGGGAGATTCGTACAGGCGTCTAGGATTTCCGTAGATGCTCCAGAACTTCGTATATGTGGAGAACAAAATAGGCGAATTTGCGAAAAGCTCAAGATAGGTCCAAGGATTTTCTTATAGGTTAGTATAGGTGGTGGGAAGCTCATGAAAATTCCTTACAGGTTGTTGAGAGGTCAGTATAGGTGTCTAGTAGTTTCACACAGGTTCGTATAGGTGTCAAGGGGTTCCAATGAGGTCCGTAACTTCACTTAGGTAGAAAATGTCTTAAGACAGATCCGTATAGGCTATGTGAAGCTCCAGAGGGGTCTATACATTAGTCGAGGATTTCATGTAGGTCTGTATATTTGGTAAGACATCGAAAGAGGTTCGTATAGGTGGTGAGAATCTCCGCATTTGCAGTAAGTTCCTTATGAGGAAAGAGGCTCTCAGTTGAGGTGAAAAAAGATCTACAGATATCCGTACCTATGGAAACGTATTATTGATGTTCATATCCTCAATTTCATCTGAAGCTCTATAGAGGTGGAAAACATCTGCAGGGATGTGTTAGGAGGCCTGAATCGATCGGAACGATCTATACAAAGATCCGTACCAGCAATGTTAAGCTTGTACAGGACTGTATCGGCCAGAATGACTCTGTATTTACTTTAGAAAAGTCTTAACGGTTAGAAAAAAGACACTATAGAAGGCCGAACCTGTGGAGGAGCATTATATTGATCCGTATAGGTTAGGAGGAGCCATGTAGTGGACATTATCGATGGAAAGAAGACATCTAGAGATTTGTAAAGGTGGAGGGGAAGCTCTACGGAGGCAAGCATTTGTGAGGAGCGGCCCATTGAGTTCTGTACTGGTGATCATGATATAATCTAGAGATTAGTGTCGGTGTGAAGAGGTCCGCAGCAGTGAGGTAAAGCCTACTCGAGGTCCACATCGACAATAAAATACTCAAAAAATGTCACCATCTTCTCACCACCGATGTGTACACTACTGAACGGCTTTATAGAGCTGATGATAGGTTACTTAGAAGTTCATACTGAGGTTGGGAGATTAATTGTATGATTCGAATCTGTTTTTTTTTTTTTTTTTTTTTTGTAATAAAAACATATATTTTTTTTTTTTGTAATATTTCAAACACTTTATTATTAAATTCATAAATCTTAAAAAATATACAAGCAGAACAAAATAGGGTAATTCCAAAACCGCACATTCCTTACCTCATTACCAAATATATATTTTCGACAGCACCAGCATTTCATTCTGTATTAATTCGGATGTGCCATCCGACAATGCAATTCAAAATTACTACGATTTATAAAGCTCGTCGGACATTCCGGACATTCATAAATAGCTTTTTTATTGCCTTTGATTTTAGCCCCTTTAGCTTTAGCAGCCTTCCGGCCGGTCAAATGCACATCCTGATGATGCCTTTTAAGATTGTTGCGATTAGAGAAAACTTTGTCACAAATCGAACATTTAAAATATCCATGAACTCGTTGCTTGTGTTTCTGTAACGCCATAGGCATTCGGAATCGTTCATTACATTTCAAACATTTCACACGGAAAATGTTAGTATCGGTTTTTAAATATTCGGAAATTCTTGAAATTAAATCTGAATTGTTGGAATGCTTTAGACGGATATGGAATCGTATTGCAGAAGCAGTTTTTAAACGTGTCCAACATAATGGGCACTGATAGGTGAGTAGATCCGTCATATGTTCGATTTTCAAATGTTCACGTAGGTATCGCCATGAGGCATATTTGGTCGGACACAGGGTGCAGTGATAGGCGCAGGGTTGTTTGTGTTTCTTTAGGTGATTTCTTAGAGATCCCGAGCTATTGAAATAATCTCCACAAATTTTACAGGTGTACGTTGTCCAGGGATTGTGATATTGCCAGCGGTGATGGCTGAACGATTTGAAATTTTGAAAAACACGAACGCAATCGTGACAGCCATACGAAATGGTGCCATTAGGTTTGGTAATACGTTTGGCGGATTTCAAGCGGAAATATTGGAATTTCCGACTTCTGTGGGTGGTTAATTTTTTGTGGCGATTTTTATGAAAACGCAATAAGGCGGGATGGGAGTAGGATTTGCGACATACAAGGCATTTGAATCGGCTAGTATCTGAGGTGCGGTGTGAAATTTTCTTCGCACAGGCTTTGGGTGAGGCAATGCGTATTAATAGGTTCTCTGGATCTATAGTTGATTTATCTAGGCTACAGAGAGATAAATTCCCCGTGGAAGGGCAATCAAATTCGTTAGTCAGTTCCAATGGGGAATGACTTCTTTGAGATGAAATGTCGGAATCCGTAAGGTCTGGATCTGTACTCCTTGAAAGATGTATTTGAGAGACCTTCACTTGGTCCTTGTGCCCTCGTTTCCTTGATGTGCTGGGCTGGGATGAAGAAATTGGTATTAATAGATTTTCTGGATCATTTTGAGAAAATCGATCTACTCTTGATTTCTCCAGGCTACCAGGAGATACTACCCTTATGGGCTGGGACTCTATAAGGGGTTTCAGTTTCAATTGGGAATGACTTCTTTCAATTGTTCTGTCTTCGGAAAAATGAGTTTCTTGTGATAATTTTTCTGTGCAAATTAAAGGGGGTTCCCCTTGGGTTTCATTTTGTACTACCGTCCTGCCACCTGGTGCTGGTTTGGAAATGAATATTGTTGACGAATCGATCTCATAATTTAGAGTTATTAGATTATTTGGAGAAGTTCGAAGGTCTATTTCCCGCCTCGGAACTATTGTAGGAATTTCCAGGTGTTCGGCAGAAGATTTGAAGGGTGGTTCTTTGCTGTAAATTTCCAAGTTATTCGATGACCCATTTCCATCACCTCCAATGCAGGAAACTGATGATGCTTCCGAATCACAACAATTATCTCCTAACAATACATTGTGATCCGGAGCTTGAAAACTAATAGCTTCGATATTAGTTAACCCATTATCATTATTATCCTGCGAGAGTTCTATAAATTCTTCACCATCCTCCACTTCTTCTTCTTTCACCTTCAACTCCTCTACTTCTTCCACCTCTGAAATTGTATAAACTTCCCCCGCATTTCCGCACTGAAGTCGAACCTCCTCCATGACCGCACGACCTCCAAATTCTCTCATAACTTTCCGTTGAGCCTCTTCAATAAGTTTTTCGTATTTTTGAAATTCCGCAATAATTTTCGAACATATTAAGCATACGGTGCGTAAATGCTTGAAAATGTTCAAATTGACTATCTATAAAAATTTGCGATCAATTAGAAAAGTAGTGGACAGACAAATTAACATATACTCAACCTACCTCAGGGTGAAAGTATTTCGAAATTTTATTATAGAAGTCCGTTTTCTGACCCGTATCACTGTACAGTTCTACACCGCTCTCGTTTTGTATATTCAGACATAAACGACAGCAATTACTAGGGGGAATATGAAGAGTTGCCATGGTTTGCCGAACTGTAAGAATAACGAATATGGAGAACAGTTGAAAAATCTAAATTTGAAACGAATCTAGGGGTTCGGAAAACTTAAAATAAGCTCAGTTCAGGACAACTTAGATATAGATCAGTATATATTATTATGATTTCCGAAGATGTCGGAATTTCGTATGTCGTATTCAATAGAGGAGACCTATATCAAAAATTGGAGATCCTAATACAGACCTACAAGTATATAATGTGTAGGTCTTTAGAAGCTTACATATGTTCTTATTAAAAGTTCGTTAGAGGTTCGACTATGTTATGAGAAGAGTCCTTCAGAACTTTGGAAAA